ATCAAAAAGTAGTGAATTACTGAATTTCCATAGGCCTTTGCCTGTTTTGAAATCATTAAATTTAAACGTAATTATAGGAGACGAATGATCAGGCCTATAGCCAGGTTCAATGCCTGTTTCATAAGTACTAGGTAGGAGGCTACCAGATACCAAGGAAAAATCTAAACGAGTCTGTTTAACACGGTTGCTCCTCCTCCATGTATACCCCTGGAATCAGAATGCTGCTCTCTCTCTCTAAAGACATTAATTAAATCAAAATTTTCCATGATCTCTAGTACTTTTTTCTCTGGACTTTCGATTGTTTATCCTTTTGTATGATTTGTCATAATCTAGCTCGGGATTCAGGATCAGGTTAAAGTCACCACATACTATACACTTATCGGTCTTAAACTCATACGGTGTTTCTTCTATCAACTCAAAAAAGGAAGGTTCATTGTTATTTGGACCATAAATAGACATTACGGTCAAATTAGTACCCTCAATTTCCAAATTTAGTGCTGAGAAATTCCCAGACTTATCTCTTTTCTCCTTAATTACTTTTACTTCAAAATTATTGTTTAATAGAATAGCAACACCCCTTTGATTTAGAAGAACTAAAAAAGCAGGAATAGCCCCATTCCTTTCTTATTAATTCCTCATTATTATCTGTAAAATGCGTGTCTTGGAGACCATAAAGGTTAAAATATTTACTTCTTAGATATGAAAATACATCTCTACGTTTCATTTTGTCACCTAAACCCTGACAATCGAATGATAAGAACCTTATCCCTTATTGCACAGTGCAGAAAAGGATATTCTACCTCAGCTCATTATTTTTATCAACATGTTCAATTTCCTTCTTTATTACATTAAACTTTTATAAAGGACAGTTTGCATTAACGTAGAGTAAGTAATAAATTGATTATAGATTTATGTTTTACCACAGTTAAATGTGCACACGTCAAGATGTATTCCGTAAGACAGGGTTTGGTTTCATATGAAACAAAATTAGGATATGTGAAACAGTTTTACCATTATAATCTAGTCATACTTCTACAATCAGAGTACAGTAGTTATACTATACATCTAAGTATCTGAAGTATGATAAGAGGAAATTAATGTAACTTACAATGGTTTAAATAGACCAGTACATAGCCAAAGGAGCCTATTGTTCATGTTCAAATACAAGTAAAATTGTTAAATTTAGCTCACCAAAAAAATTCATATAGATGCTAGGAATGGATTCATACTAGAAGGAGCACCTCTTTAATGTTTATTATAACCATGCTACAAATTTTTACTGTCCTACAACATTATATTTGCCCAGCCGAAAAATAATGTTACCAAATCACAAGTGTAACATAATATCAACCACAGACGAAGCTGAGATTCATGTTCTACATTTTATATTAACCTAACATGTTTCTCAAGATTTAAGATGTGTTACATAAAGATTGAGGACCTGGTACACTACATCAGGTCAATAAATAGTTTATAAGTACATTTATTGGTTAAGAACAGGTATGTTCTACATGATAAATTATGATCTACGGAAAATAACATCCTTTTAATATTTTGTGATAAGAGAGCTAGAACAATATTCAGAGATGAACCAATGTTTGTATCAGTGAAACAAAACACTTGTACAAACATAGAATTCAGAAATAAACCAATGGGGATAACTTCGATGTCAAAATAAGTAGAAAACAAAAAAACAAAAACAAAAACAAAAAACAGCTGAATTTTACTGAACAGTCTGGTACTTCTGCGGTATAGCGAATTCACCTCAATTATCATGCCGTCTGAAACTGTTTCGTCAAAGCATCAACTAACAAAAGCACCCCGAAAAACCACCAACAACAAACATATTATCTAGGCTTGTTATAGGTACTTCCTCCGAACTGCTAATACCAATCGATATCTTGACCGAACAGTACCATACTCCAGGGGTCTTACCCATAGATATCTAACCTAGATGCCGCACGACCTATCCGCGACGGTTGACGCAACGTGTCTGCAGCGCCGCCATCTTGGGAAGGTATTGTCGCTAGTGACACAATGGGCCTCATGATAGAAATCCTACTAAAAAAACGGATCTCGGTCACTAGCCCACGTATCAACACAAATGACAGTTCATTTTGAGGTTGTGAAAAAGTGTTATGCTGTAGTCATCTCAAAGAGGAGTTATCGGGAATCAAAATTAAAGAAAAAATAACGGGAATATTTAAAATGTAAAAATTATTGAAAAAATATACTCCTCAGTTATTTTGCATAGGATACTTTTAACAATAAACTGACATATAATAACCCAACCCAACCAAACAAAGAAGAAAAAACCCAATAATACAGAACAATTAAGAAATAATAAATGTTTTATTCAAATTCATCCCTTTTTTAAATAGTAATAAATAACTTGATTGTGGCAACCAAAAAAGCTATATGGAAGAACATGTGAATCTATGGGCCTGGTCCCTGGACAGGTGTTCACCCCAAAAATGAATTTATTTTTTAATGGCTTACATATCACAAGGCAATTAATTATATATCAGTGTCATTCATACGACTTCATGATTTGCTGGACAACATTTCAAGGGGGGGGAGCACTTAATGTGTAGAGTGAATAATATGTGTGAATACATATTGCCAATCTATTAAAGGTTATCTCAGCATGCAGAAAACTGAATGCAAAGTGCCACACAGCAGCTAATAGCCACTGACCATGAGATGCCCTGATTAATAATATGTATAGTCACATGCACCCTGGTTGTGGGAGTCTTAGTAAAAACATGAAACTAAGAGACATTTTCATTCATATTTTAATACATAACAATATGCAGAGTGAATCTGCAAAATGACAAGAAAAACAGGTGCACAATAAAAGTATACCTTGATATTTATATGAGTAATTATAAATAATATAATTCCACTGCCTACTTGAATTTTGGTGCATTAGGAAAGAGGAGACCTCATAATTTATATACTCACTATGATTATGACACATATTGTATCTGATTCGCAAATAGTGCTAATATTGTTGTACGTATATATTTGGATGATGATAAACATAAAATGTAATGCAATTTGCGTGAAGACTTTGTCAGCATGCCGATTTGTTACATCCAAGGGGGTGTGAGCTTAACTTTTGGTCCTAGCTAAAAATTCAAATACATCCAGTGGGAGTTTTAATGTTAAATTGAAGATTAGATAAGCCTCTAATCGAATGACAAACCCATGTTGCACCAATCAACTGCCTACATATGCAGCACTGATACCATAAACCAGTCAACAAATCATGTCTTCTGTCTACATGTTTTGTATTCATCACTAATAAGCCCAAGATAACTATGTATTGTACAAGTCATATGCTATTTACTTATTTTGTGACTAAAATGAGACTACTGCCAAACACAAAAGGTAACTGTTATCAATCACACTACTTTGTACACAGGTCAGTGCACAACAGCATGTTACAGCAAGATAAAAAAAACTACTCCTTCCATCAGGCGAATGACCATCTCTTAGTATAGTTGCTCAAATACTTAATGATAGTACTCCAAAAAACCCTTTCATCATTACTTGAAACACCGCCTGTTACAATGACATCTACTAAACACTATATATATGTTTACAAGTCAAAATGAATAGACCCTATCATACAAAGTTAAATCAGATAAGGCACGCATTCTGTAGAACATCAATTTGTACAAGGTAGTAACTTGACAGCTTGTATAATGCCTTTCCAAGATGGCGTACCGCTTGACACGTCACATGCGCCGCCGCGCGGCATCTAGGATTAGATATCTATGGTCTTACCCACTAAAGATAATGTAATAACAGATTATTATAACTATAGCTCAATACTTTCGTATATAAGGTACTGTCGCACAGTACATATAAATATTTTACATAAAGCAATATTTCCAGATTTACAAACATTATTCCGACTAAACGACTGCATATAAACACTCGTGATCGTGCGATGGATAAGACTTTTCAAGATGGCGGACCAACGTAACAACGGAAGGTAAGCTCTGCTTTCAAACGGTAATACCCATAATTTATATACTCACTATGATCATGACACATATTGTATCTGATTCGCAAATAGTGCTAATATTGTTGTACGTATCTATTTGGATAATGATAAACTTAAAATGTAATGCAATCTGCGTGAAGACTTTGTCAACATGCCGATTTGTTACATCCAAGGGGATGCGAGCTTTACTTTTGGCCCTAGCTAAAAAATCAAATACATCCAGTGAGAGTTTTAATGTTAAATTGAAGATTAGATCAGCCTCTAATCGAATGACAATCTTCTCTGACGGAATGTGTCTTCTCTGACGGAATGGGAAGCGTGATTGGAGAAAAAAAACAGGAAATTTTGACCATGCGATGGCTAGGTCCTTAGTAACACGATCACAAAATGCACCGAGACCGAGCCTTCGCAATTGCCAAATCAAAAATGGTCACCAGGGAGACATGTTTTGTCCTAAAATCAAACTAGGGACCATGGGGAACCTACTTATGCATTTTGAGAGTTATAAACGCAGTAGTTCTCAAGAAATAGCGATAACAAACTATCACAGTCAAAATTCATGAAAGTCATCTGTCGGCCTTGTATTTCTGATAAGTCCATATATCAACTGGACATAGTCATACATTACGTCATACATTACATCTTTCCTTTCATAGAAAAATAGTTGGATCATTTCCAAAGCATTATTCTGATCAACTGAAAATACACATTTTTAAGTAAAGAATTTTAAGTAAAATTTGTTTCTTTACTGTTATCATAATATTGAATTGATAGTTACTAAATTTACTCATGAAGTTATAATAAACACTAATGTACATGTTATGAGTAATATAAAGTCAATTAACCATGTCAATGAGATAATTTCACTATTAACCTGAAAAAGAACATTGAGTCTTATATGAAACCTAACTGAACCAGTCTTTCAAAAACTAAAACACTAACTGAACTAGTTGTCTTTTAAACTTGAAACTCGTTAACACAAAATCTATTGAACAAAGTCTTTGAAACTTGCTGGCGTTTTGATAATCCTTCCAGAACTGGATAGGCGTGGACTATCCAAAACTGATGTAGGTGGAAGTTGGTTTTGCACGGCCTGACGGGTTTCCTGTGACATATTGCTATCCTGGATGGATGTTTTTGTAGCCAAAGTTTGCTTGGACGGTTGATTACTGGGCGGCCAGCAATGTAAATTAAGGTCAGCTGGTTCTTGGTCCAAGTCTGCCTTTGACCTGGTTGGTCGTAGATGTCTGCAGTTTCGCCGGTATGCCCGATTTCCTGATCGGATTACATAGGACCTTGGGGTCTTATGTTTCTCAATTACTGTTCCATGTTTCCATTCAGATCTACATGTATTTGGATGTTGTTGTAGCAGGACCTGGTCTCCAGGGCTCAGTGGTTGTAGACCTCCACTGGCATGTCGATCATAACTTTGTTGTTGTTTTTTCTGGCGTTTTACCAGTTGTTCCCGCACCTTATCAAATGCTTCAGCCTTGAGTAATGGTAATGACGTCGGTATTGTAGTTTTCAATCTTCTTCCAAGGAACATTTGAGCTGGTGAAAGTCCAAGTTCATCAATATTAGAGTTCCGATATTCTAATAAGGCCAGATATGGGTCATTTGATTTCTTCAGTAAGCGTTTGACGGTTTGAACCGTTCTCTCAGCTTGCCCATTTGACTGTGGATAATGTGGACTTGAAGTAGTATGTTCAAACTGGTACTGCTGTGAGAACTGTTTAAATTCAAAGCTAGCAAATTGGGGTCCATTGTCACTGATTACTAAATCAGGTATACCATACTTTGCCATTTGACTTTTCATGTGACTGATGACACACTTTGCGGTTGTAGATTCAAGTCTCACAATTTCTGGCCATTTTGAAAAATAATCCACGGTCAGTAGGTACGATTCATTATTGTAGTCAAACAGGTCCACACCTATTTTAGACCATGGCCTAATGGGCAACTCTGTCGCGATCATTGGCTCCTTATGGTTTGCGTTATTATGCTTGGCACATATCTCACATGAGTTGACTCGGTCCTCAATGTCTCGTGACATGCCTAGCCAGAACAGTATGTCCCTTGCTCTGTTCTTACATTTCACTACACCAAGATGAGAAGAGTGAATAAGGTCCAACATTTCTTTTTTCATAGACCTGGGCACTACGAGTTTATGAGATTTGTACATGAGCCCATCAATGCACGATATTTCATCGCGAAAGGTCCAATATGAACGTAGCTCAGCTGGTACGTCCACCTTGTTGTCTGGCCATCCGTACAGAACAATATCCTGTAACTTCTGTAACTCATCATCTGTAGCTGTAGCCTCTTTGAGTTGTTTGTATTTCTCTGGTGAAACAGGTAAATATGCAGTCAGATGAATTTCATTAACCTGTAAGTCTGGAACCAAAACTTCTTTTGTTTCTTTCAAGTATGCACGACTCAGATGGTCTGCTAAAAACATGAGCTTTCCTGGCTTGTAAACGACTTCCACATCATAACGTTGCATAGCTAATAACAATCTCTGTAACCTCGGAGGTGTTTGTAGAATTGGTTTTTTGAATATTGCCTGTAGGGGTCTGTGGACTGACTCCACGGTAACTTGTCGCCCATACACGTATTCATGAAATTTCTCGCAACCAAACAGAATTGCCAACGTTTCTTTTTCTATTTGTGAGTATTTTTGCTGTGTAGTGGTGAGTGCCCTCGAGGCATATGCGACCGGTTTTTCCTCTTGTACCAGAACAGCACCTAGCCCTTTGCTACTGGCATCCACTGAGAGGGTAAGTGGTTTACTGCTATCATAGAACTGTAGTACAGGTGCAGCTGAAACCATCTGTATTAGAGTTTGAAACGCTTCTTCCTGTTGTTTCTCCCAATGCCATTCAGACTTTTTCTCAAAAAGACTTCGTAGTGGTGCACTGACCTCTGCTAGTCTTGGTAAAAACTTATGTAGGTACTGCACGAAACCCATTAGGGTTTGGAGCTCTTTTACATTGATTGGTTTCTCCATATTTTGTACTGCTCTCACCTTCTCGGGGTCAGGTTTCACCCCATTCTTAGTCAATAAATGTCCCACATAGGTGACCTCTGTCTGACCTATTACACACTTGTCTTGGCCAAGTTTTACATTGTACTCGCGTGCCCGTTCCAGCACTCTCTGTAGCCTGTGATCATGTTCCTCTTTGGTGGTTCCCCATACCAATATATCATCAACTATGGCTTCTGTCCCTTCAAGGTCTGATACCATTTCTGTTATTACCCGTTGAAATACTTCGGGGGCTGACTTGACTACAAAGGGCAGCCGGGTGAACCGGTACCTTCCAAATGGAGAGTTAAAGGTACACAACTTTGAGCTGTACTCGTCCAATTTTAACTGCCAAAATCCTGAAGTAAGATCTAATTTACTGAAAATCTTAGCTCCGGGCATCCTTGAAACCACCTCCTCAATAGTTTTGAGTGGAAAATGCTCTCGTTGTATAGCTCTATTCAGATCACACGGGTCAATACATAACCTCAGTTTCCCATTAGGTTTCAGGACTGTCACAAGGGAGTTAACCCATTCAGTGGGTTCTTCCTGTTTTACTATAACTCCCAGGTTCTCCATGCGGTCCAGTTCATCTTTGACTTTATCTCTGAGCGATATAGGTACTCTCCTTGGGGGGTGTACTACTAGCGTAACAGATTTATCAAGCTTAATGGAGTGCTCTCCTGGCAAGCATCCTAGTCCTGAGAATAGGTCCTCGAATCCTTCATCAATCCCTGCGGGTACTTTTCCTGCTGAAGTTTGTATTGAGTGTATCCGTTTAATGAGACCTAGTTCCTGGCAAGTAGAAGCTCCTAATACTGCTTGAGCGTTCATGTCAACAACATAGAACTGTACTTTCTGTTCAGGCTTGTTTTGATAGGAACACATCATATGTGTTGTTCCGATACACTTTATCTGATGCCCTGAATATGAACGTAGCGGTGTTTTACATGGCTGTAGTTGCTTGTTGTTCAACTTTTCATACAGTCTCCTCGACAACACATTACATTTGGCCCCTGTATCTAACTGAAATGTTACTGGGTGTTCGTTGACAACTACAGTTTCTACCCACTCTGAATTCTCGACATTGTTTACATCCAGACTTTCACTTATCATTCCGACGAAAAGTTCATCTTCTGTATCAATTTCAACCACATTTCAGTTTTTCTGAGGATTGTTCTTACCTTTTGCTAAACATGCAGTAGCGAAGTGGTTCATTTTGCCACATTTCATGCATTTTTTCCCGAATGCAGGGCAATTCCTTGGTGGATGTTGTCTCGCACACTTTCTGCACGTTTTGTCACCATTGCGGTTAGAGTATCTGGGCGGCGCGTTCGAGTACTTAGCTGACGGCGCATTCCACTTTTGACTCTGGTCTTTCTTGATCGCGTTTATGACAACTCACAACAATTTCTCTCGGACTTTGTTGTACCAAATACAATTGCTTACAGGCTTATTACGTTCTGTTGGAGCAAAAAACCCCATTTTTTCGGGTTTTTCACACTAAAATTAAAATATCAAATAAGCGTAGTTGGGGGATAGAAATATATCAAAATAAAGTTTAAGACTTCTATTTTCTTATTTTGGTAATTATTTTGTAATAAGATATAAATTCCTACCATTGCATGGAGTTCGAAGTGAAGTCGTTTCCAAAAATTCGGCCGCCATGTTGATTTATGTGTCAACAAGTGTGCCAAGTTCAGAATTAAATCCGCTGGCTATTACTGGACCAATTTTTACCATTAATGGCTTAAAATTTAGGAAATATAGTCTAGTTTTTGAAACTGAGTGATCTCTTTTGAAAAAGTATAGGGATCACACTGTAAAAAATATAAATTTGCAAAACAGTGTTTTTTTACCGTGATATCACTTCGCCGCGAACAGGGATCACTCGGATTATGGTAGCCTGGACCTTCATCTAGCGATTGGTAACCAAGGTTTCAACAAAATAACAAGAGCAGCCAGCGGAAATCATTGGATATTTGAATGACTTTTGCCACAATGTTTTGTTCGTATGAGTTATCGAACTTTGCTGCTGCTGCAGGCCGGGTGCAAATCCTCCCGACCCGGTAAACAAAATTGACCAATGGGACATCAGTATGTCCATTCGGAACATTTTGGGGTTTTTATGTTAAATATCAAAGGAAACATTCGATTTTCTTTAGGATTTATATAAAAGTATGTTTTAGAACAAAAGAAAAAACGGGGGGGGGGGGGGGGGAATAGTTGCTGTGGTTAAGAAAATATGTTTGGGGGTATAACAAAAACATTTTCTGAACACAGAACCATACTTTACTTTTCTTAATCTTTTAAGTCACAAATACAAATTATTTTCCATGAAATAAATGAATGAACATTTGATGAGAAAACAATTTTCTCTGTAAAATATCATGATTATACTCCCTCTCAACTAGCCCATTCTTCTTAACTCAGAAAGTTGATTTTGGTCTATATCTTGGTTGTTAAATTCCTTCTGAATGTAAGAACTGCCCTTCTTTATCAATGCAAGGGGGTATTGTTGAAGTGAAAGAAAGTTGTTTTATTTATTTTGTTGAAATTCTTTATATTTTTAATTGTTTTGCTAATTTATGACACTTTTTAAAATCTCTTTTATTTATTTAAGTTTTATTTTACCTTATTTTGGTTTCTTTTTAAGTTGTCAAATTTTTCAGAGGAAGAATAATAATTGTGATTTATTTTATTTAATTTTTAATCTAAATAAATCTTTTTCTAAAAAAAAAAATTATTTTGATTTATTTTCTTTTTAGTTTTTTTACACGCTCTGATATACTGATTTTCATTTTATTTTTGGTAAGTGTGATAAGTTTTATTTACAATCCAATACACTTTTTTATTTGCAGTTTGATAAGTATGTGATGATTGTTTTTACTTTTTTTTCAATACTATCAATGAATTAATTAGATAACAATTTTTATGACCGTTAAATTTTAACATTGATGTTAAAAATAACTTATGCTAGATAATGACAGATTTACCTATTTTTTGTGCTTTTATCTTAATCTTAAGGATAAACTTATAAAGACAAGAATAACCGTGTTTCAACTCTTAAGGCTTATAAAAGGTGAACTAATATCAACAGGAACATTTTTTCTCAAATGATATTGTTTGTAGGAGTAAAAAAAAAATTGGGGGGGGGGGGGGGGGGGGGGGGGTTCACCTTCTGAGAATGTTTGATTTTGGGGTAGGGCTAGGTTTTTATAGAAATACTTGGTGCTGTTAATAGATAGAGGTACAAATATGTGCTAGTTGCATTCTACATATTTCTATCTTTAAAATGATACCTTATACACCATACAATAGTTTATATTCTTCTCGCATTTCATGATTAAACACAAATTTCAGGTTTTATCCAAAATTTTCAAAACGTAGAAAAACAACCTTAAATGTTGCAAAAAATTGTTGTTTTGAGTTAAAACTTGATCATTTGTATGTAGAAATAAGCATTCTTATATAAATTGTCATTTTATTACCACCTGGGAGTAGTTGAAGATCTTTTTGTCCTGAAAAAATGTTATTTTTCGTCTTTTCGGGGCTAAAAATATACCTCTTTGGCAGCTGTATTTTGGAGCTGTTGCTTTCAAAAAAATTTTTTAGGGGAAATATTACATATTTTCTGATAAAACATACAAAGATCAACAAGAAACACCATATAAAAAAAATTCCAGATTTTTTTTGAGCTTTCTGCATCAAAAAAGTCATTTTTTCTGAAATTTTCGATTTCGTCTCAAAAAGGGGCTGCGCAGGGTATTTGATATCAAAATATTAAAAAAAATAATGATCTTAAACCCTAACTGGAATTTTTTTTCAAGAAAATGCATTGTGATCTGTAAAAATAAGGAGATTTGGATAAATTGGGTGATTACTTTTTAAGATAAAGTTCTTCAAAAGTGGTAGTCTAGCAAAGAGGGGTGCCGACACATTTCTCAAAAAAACTAAGTCCAAACGAATAATTCCTCATGTTCAGCTGCCAATTTTTTTTTTATCTGTCCCCACCTAAACTAAGTAAATGTTTCTTTTTGAAGCTTAAGGGGAACTTGGCACCCTACAACAATCAGACAATACATATCATAACCACATTTTCAGATATAAGGCCTCAAACATGCCTCTTTTAGGGACTATTTGCTAAAAACAGAAAAAGGGTCGCTTTTCGAGGTACAAAAATTGATGTAACTTTTGAACCGCTCAACCGATTTCCAAAATTTTTGCACCAAAATTCCTCTTTCTTTGAGTTTTGTCCAAAAAACATGTTTTAAAATGTTTTCTAGGTGGTTCATTTTTTGAGCTGCGGACGAACATGTGCTTCAAACTTTTCAGTTAATGCCGTGAGTGATTTTTTTTCATCATTTGTCAGTGTCCATGTGGTATATATGTCCCTACCTTTGTCTCCTACCCAAATCATGAGGTAGTTGCATCTTTCTTCCTCGTTTTTCTTTGAAAGTGGTCCTTTAAACCAAAAGTCAACGTGGTTTTTAAATGTTTCCCATGCCACCACGAGGTCGGGCGCATCCCAATTCATTTTTGGCGTTCCTTGTGTGTTTCCTGTATCCATTTTGATTTCTCTGTATTCTTCTATGTCTCTTTCAACTTTTTACATTGAAATATACTGTTGATCCTTTATCATGAGGACGATGTTGTCCGATTCAGGTTCTGACACCATGTTGTATATTCAAAACATGACGCCATGCTGACTGCTAGCCAAATTCCTTTATTACCTCTAGAGACCGGAGAGTTCCAGTCATACATTACGTCATACATTACAACAACCAAGAACCAACATGAAATTTGAGAGATCCGTCCAATACATCTTAAGAGATATCGATAACAAACTTTAATTAGTCATTCCAAAATGGCGCGACAAAGGGGAACCTACAGATGAAATTCAAAAGAGATCTAAAAAAATAGCCTTAACAAACTTTACCTTGTGCAATCCAAAATGGCAGTCTGTCGATCATTTTGTTTTTTTTTATTAGTTCCACAATCAGGGACTAAGGAGAACCTACATATATTGAGAGGTCCATCCAGTACCTCTAAAGAAATAGCTATAAAAAAGTTTATTGTAAAAATCCAAGATGGCCACATTATTTTTCAGATCAGAACAAGATCCATCAAGTACTTTCTAAGAAATAGCGACCAAAATATTGTTTACGGACGGCAGATCTAGGAGTTGGGCGATTCGAATAGTCCACTATCAGATGATGGTTTGCTAAAAATGTGGATAGGGCCATGTAATTCCTTATTTCTTCATTTCTACATAAAGCAGTACACTTACATTCTTGAGTCAAAGACTAGTGAGTATTTCAACTCATGCTTAGCCTTTTCTCAACAATGTCCACAAACTACGTGTAAGAAAGATATATAACAGGTGGTGTGGACATAGATACAGATGATACTTACACTTCTACAACACTGGTCTTTTTCTCCATGTACTTTTCTATAGGTCTTTTGTCAAGTTTTCCCTCTAGTTTCTTTACCTTTGAATTCAAATTCTTTTCAGATGTTGGTATTTTCTGTTAATCGACAAACTGACCAGGGGAGAATGTCACATCATATATAAATGATAAACTAACACATTAAATATCATTTCTTTTATTTATAAATTCAGCCTTATAACTGCTGATACTAAATTTGTTACCTTCATCGCATATCAGCTCTTTCCAGCAGATCATTAAAACATGTGAGGCATAAAAAACAGTTAAAACATCAACAATTTTGTAAAGATATAGAATTTGTTTCTGTATGATGTTGATTATTCTCAAAAAACAAATAGAAAATTAATGTATGCATTGGACTATATACACAAGTACAGTGCAGATAGAGATACAATAACAATAAAATATCCCCAACATAAGATGATTTGCACAAAACAGGCATTGCTCCCTGTCAACCCCAAAATAGATACTATCATGCTAGTACAATATACAGTGAGATCATCAGATAAAAATTGACTACATAATGTACACACATAAGTCATCTGCTACTGGAGAATAATTAGCAACTCAAAGAAATCACAAACTTTTGTCTATATAAGTGTCACAATGTCATTTTTATAGCATACATCTTCTGTAATCTTTCCACTTTGCATTAAACAATTGACT